CAGAGCCAATCATGGGAAGCGTAAAGGTGTGAAGGCACAAAGATGGAGAGTTGATTAAAAGCACCGTGGGGAGCGCGGGCGAACAAATCAATGGTAATGATGGAATTATGCCCGAGCGGAACCCAACAGTCTGCGGTGTCCTGGTGACTCGAGCTGGGGATTAAATGCTGCAGGAGCAGAGCTGGCCCTTGTCCTGCCTGTCAGCACTCAGGGATGGGCTGATCGATGGGATGGGTCCTGCTGCACAGCGGGGTAAGCTCTGGGGAGCAATGCCCAAGCACAACACGGACACCCCTACGCCTTGTGAGGTGTGAGGGTGGGATCCTGCCCAGGCTGCAGTGGGGTCAGGATGCCCTCACGCCTGTCACACCAGGAGTGGGACAGGGCTCAGCTGGGGGAGCATCAGGAAAGAAAAGGTAAAAGATGAGGGGAGGGCCCTGAGGGTGCTCAGTGAGGTCAGGGAGATAGGGGAGCAAAGCCACAGAGGATCCTGGGGGTGCAGGGACACGAGGGACAGACGGGGTAGAGGCTCGGAGGCACTGGCAGGAGCTGAGGGAGCACAGATCAGAGCCGGCTGCAAAGGCACTGAGAAAAGGCCTGGAGCAGCCTGCAGGGAGGGAAGAGAGGATTGGAGCAGCTGCCAAGATCAATGCAGGCCTGGCTGTAGCTGGGGTAGCACGAGCTGAGGGCTGCCTGCCCTCCCTGAACTTGCCCTGCTGGCTCTGACACCTCTACAAGCAGAATAACATAAACACAGCCTCAGCTCCCTTCTCCTTTACTCCTTTACTCCTTTAAGAATTCCTCTGCTGGTTTGAGGCACACATCTTTATGCACATAAATATGCCAGAAGCTCCTGCCCCTATGGCAGAGTCACCAATCCCACCTGACTTTGTGCTCGGTGAGCACAGCAGAGAGGATCTGGGGACCACCTCCCTGCCCCAAGTTGGTCACACAGTGTTGCCAGAGGGGAACTCAATGGGTGAAGAGCAAGCCTAGGAGTAGAACCTGGCAGGACAGAGGTCTGTCCATAAAGGACAATTCCAGAACACGAAGAAGCCCAGAAATTTTCTCTCCGGCATCATCAGCCACACCAGCCCAGAGCCAGCTACAAGGGCAGCACTGCCCAAGTGAGGAATGCAAAAGGACAGTCTGACCTCAGGTTTTGCATGACAGGAGATCCTCCCACACCACACAGCCAGAGCCAGACCTTTAGCAAACATAAGGGCCATCATGCCTGGCCTTTTGGCACGAACTCATGACGAAATAAGTGAAAGCTAAACATTTTCAAAGTCAAATATTTGCCCAGTGGTGAAACAGGCCACTGCAGCCAGAGTGAAGCTGTTCCTAGGTGGCCTCAGCCTGAGCAGATCCTGCAGGACTGCTCTGGTGGTCTCAGTTAAAAGACCTTCACATTGCTGGAGTCTACTTGTGCTCAGGCCAGCTGGGGAGGGGAGAGCCAATTTTAGTCGTCCAGAGTCTCCAGAAATAAAATTCTCGAAAGGAAAAGACAAAGACTCACAAGTAGAAAACGCACAGATTCTTTCCAAATGGTCTTAATGAAGATTATTTAAATATGGAGAGTTAAAATATCCCATATGTTAGCTCCCTTATGGATCTCTTATCCAGACTCAAGCCTGAGCACAAACTAATAAAGCCCTTATCGAGAGAGGAGCTCAGTACCAAAAAGCAACAATCTGGTGTTTGGCTGCTTCTCTGCTTTTTCCTATTAATAGCATGTGAAAAGTATGTAAAAGGAAAGTATAAGGCTCAGAACTGGACTTGGGCACATGGCCCCTGAACAGGCCCAATCTCCAGATAGGTTTCCTTCAGTCTCGAAAGCAGCAAGCACCAGAAAGTGGAGAGGGAGACTTAGACACAGCACAAATATTAAATGTAAATACAACACATTCCAACACAGACCCGTCCCTGAAACAAGCCCTAGAGCAAAGCTCTCTCTTCCTGTTGGTGACAATGCACAGGACTTCAGCATAATGGTATTTACTCAGTTAAATGAGAGCTGCAATGCACTTCAGCCTTAGAAACAAAACTTGAGCTATTGAAGTGTCCTGTTTTCAGACCTGAGACTATTTGCACGTGGTTGTTGACTTCAGCAGGAGCCAGCACTGCCACCAAAGGCTGTGCTCTGAGAGCCTCCTCGGCAGGAGAAATGGAATGGAAAAAGCTCTTTTGCTTCAGCTCAGCAGAACCCAGAGCAAGGAAGCACTTAGGTTAGATACAAACAGAAGTCACTTCACCATCTTTTACTTCCCTTTCCCCGAGTAAATTGGGAAGAAACATATTCATTCTCTTGAAGATCTCTGACTGAGAACTAAACATTATTATTATTATTCACTCATACTAAAGGGTGATGCTAACATGCTCAGTAACATGTCTGGTACAGAGCATTTTTTGCACATGAGGGTGCTGGAAAGTTTTAATGAGCACCTTTTCTTTTGTCTATGTAGCAGTGAGAGTCACTTACTTGCTTAAAATGGATTTTGCTTTTATTTTTTAATACATATGCTTCTTAAGCTTTCAACCCAGAGTATGCAGTTTTAGTTAAGCTCTCATTTGGTTCATTCTAAACTCAACTCACAAAACTGGCCTCTCTTGGGATGAAATTTTCTTTAAAAATATGAAGTGGTAATTTCATTTCTAATAAAGGGTACACAACTGTCTTCATGTATGGAAGGCACTTGGAAAAAAAACTCCCTTTGTTTTTTTAGATCCAGCAACTTGAGAAGACCGGAGTGAGTGAACAGTGGGCTAATCATTCTGTCTCCATTGACAAGCAGGGAAGGAGTTAATCATCTGCTTCTTTTCACTAATTCTCTTGCAGAGCTCAGTTGTGCATATTAAATGTCTAAGTTACCAGATTTAAAGAAAAACTTGATCTCAATTTGGCTACATATTAGAAGTGCCATTCCCTGTTGTCCTACCTAGCACTGTTAATTGCATACATTTAGCCCTCTATTGGAGAATAATTTAGCTTCAGATTGAAAAGAAACAGCCCTGGCCTTGGTTATTTTGGCATACAAGACGCCAGTATGACTCTGTTTTCTAAGCAGACATTAATGATTCTAAAACTAATATTCATTGTTTGAAGAGGCATAGCAGCCTTGGCATTTACTTAACCTTTTGTCTCATGTATGAGACTGAGTCAGCCTAAATCCTTTTCTTAATTAATATCTATTCTTTTTTTTTTCTGTCCAACATTATTTATTAAACAATTTGCATGCAACAATTAAGAGTTGAGAGATTAGAAAAACCAAAATACTGTAGGAGTGAGCTCACTTGGTACAACAACAACCATCAAACTGTTTCTCCAGCTCAAACAAAGCTCTGGGATGAGAGGGGAATAGGGAGTGAGGAAGGTCAAGTAAAAAAAAATCTAAAACCAAGTCCTACCATTCCCCTCTTAGCCCTAACATTAAGCTATTCCCTACTAAAAAAGTAATAATTCTAGAGGGAAAGAAATAAAATACTACTGTAAAAGCATAAAACCTTGGGATTTGACACCTCCAGTGAATGTCAGTGATGACAGTTATGGTTGTGAATAAAGTGCAATCACTGAAACTGTTTGCTTATTGCTGTGGTAGAAAGAAATGATCATTTCAGCTTCCTGTCGTGCCTCACAGGACAGCACTGCCTGCTCCACATGAGCCACCCCAACTGAGCTCTCTGCTTCTCCAGCCTCTCTGTTTCTGTGGCTTCCTTGCACTCTCGTGATCACAGCTACAGTGAGTAACTTGCTGAGCAGGCCACAAAAGAGCCTCAGGAATGTTGGGATGTACATGGAAGTTGGCAAGGCCAATAAATGGCAATAAACAATTCTGGGCTGGCATTATGAGCTGTATGACATTAACACAGAGCAGGATGGCAGCTGCATACACATGGAATTCACCAGGAACAGGGGCTCCAGCATCTCTCCTCACCATTTTTCCCAGGCAGCAGCTTTGTGGAGTCACAGGCACTTGACTTTGGGGACTGTCTACAAGATCAGAGCTGAATCACGTTTTATATCCCACCAGGGCTGGATGACAAACCAGACCTACAGGAAAAACTCAACACTTTCCCCAAAACCACAGGTGTGATGATATGAGCTGTATCCTGCACCCATCAGGATACCCATCACCCTGCAGGAATGAGATTAATCAAAGTCATCCTAAATCCTCTATATTAGCCAACCCCTAATACTCTTGGGATCTCCTTCTTAAAAGGCTCTAGGAGATCCCAGGGCACCACACAAAGCTCTTGACCCACACCTTTCACATGAACCAACAGAGAGTGAACCCTCCTGCCCTGCGATGAGGTCAAGACTTGCCTGAGGGGAAGACACCGTGAAGGAAAAAAATGGGACCAATGCTTAGAAACCGTCCTGAGAGCTGAACTGAACCCCTGCCACTGTCTTTGTGCTCCCCAAAGAAACACTCCAGGGATCCAGATGTGTCATTCTCTCTACGACTACCTCACCAATGTGACACTACTTTAAATATTATTTCAGACATAGAGTTCAGCAGGTAATTTCAGGGCATGAACTTCAGCAGCAGGTTTTAAAATCCAAATGCACGTCTATAAACCCAACATATTAATAACTTAACAGTTTCCAATAAGACATCAACATTTGCATGCATCTTCCTACTTGTTATGTGCAGTACTACATTTTTTAATGTTTCTTGGATGCTGGCCAGAGAGTCTGAGTCCCTAGTTAGTTCAGATATTACTTTCTTGCCACAATAGATCTGGGTCTTGGCCAAGTACTGGACTCGTACTGCATACAAAACCACAAAATTCTCTCCCTTATCTGTTGATAGTCTTCACTTCCCAGGGAAGGAGGAAAAAAACGCATAAATTAAGATAAATAAGTAAATACATAAAAATTCAACACTAACTGTAGCAGAAGTATTTTTAGCATTTTTTAACACTACGTGTAATCAAAAGATTTCCTCATGTGTTTATACTGCTTTAGTCTCCCAAGAGTCTAATTCATGACTATTCACCTGAACAGGAGAGGAAGATCTCTTCTTTAAATCCCTCCTGGAGCTCCTCAGGCTTTCCACAAGAGTGAGCAAGGTTACCTGACCTGAAATAAAACAGGGGAGGAAGAGGCTTCAGTACCATCCTTCCTTTTTCAGTGTTTCTCAGCCTATGGACTATGGAGGGGTTTAAAGAGGCCATGAAGGGTTAGAGGCGGCCTCTGTTTTACATTTGACCTTTTTATCCTTTACTCAGAGCCTCTGGTGCCTTCAGAGAAAGACGGATGAACACAGAGGAGACGCCTTTTGAAAGAGGTTTGAAAACATTGTCCAGCACAGCTCTGGTGGCAGGGCAGTGAATGTTGCCTTTTATTGTGGGTTTAAGGTGGCAAACTCATACTTAGATTAACAAAGAGCAAGAAAAAGGAGCGGGTGACGCAACGATCGCGGCTGTGGCTTTCCAGCCACGTTAATCCCCCAGCAGCCTGAGCTGCCCCTGAAAGGGCTGGGCCTGCCCACCCGCCCGGCCCTGCTGGGAAGGTTTTTGCCCACTTGAAGATCTGCATTTTATCAGAGAACAAGGAGGCTACAACTTTCTCCGACCCTAAAAACGCCCCTCGGTGCTGCTGAGCACATGGAATCACCGCACTCCTCGGAGCAGAGCAATGGGAGGGTGTTCCTGCCCTTGGTGACCACAGAACCACCACAGAACCAGAGGCAAGGACATGTGGGGCAAGGCCAGGAGCAGCCCAGGGAAGGCATCTCACCTTCCCCTGGGCTGCTGCCAAAATCCCATCCCAGTCCACATGGAGCGCTTTGCTGTCAGTGTAACACTGATCCCAGCACTCCCCTGGGCTGACTTGGAAAATCTTCCTAATAATATCAAGGTAGTGACAAGGTAACAGAACACATGATTCCTGTACCTTCTGCTAGAGCTCGTGTTTTTTTCTGTTCATTTGCCCAAATAAAGCATCGGTGCCTTAATTTCCGTTGTTTCAGAAATTAGATCCTCTTGAAGAATGAAAGGATGCTGTGTTTGAGAGGGGTAGTGTTTTTATGAAGACACGTAATTAAAGGAAGCCATTAAAGATACTTGTAAAAATGATTCAGATTTTTATATATGATGACTAACTAACTTATTATTGCTCTTCTTGGTCAGAGATTAATGAGAATTTCTTAAAGGATAAAAAATTATTTAATAAGCTTCAGGATATACAGGGCTTGGAATATACTGTAATAATGTGAATACTAGGAAATGTGGCTGTTGATTCTCTTAACTAATGGAACCGACACTAAATCCATAGATAAGCAAGATGTCAAAAAACCCCAAACCCCAAACTAAAAACAACCCAGGTGAATACCTAATAAGCAAGTGGATTTCACGTGAATCTAAACATAGACCTTAGCAAAAAATCCGTGCCTTTAAGAGAATCAGGTTCCCATGTGCTCTAACTCGAGGTGGTAGAGGAACACACCAGAAATGACTGAGAGGCACCAAAGACTATAAAGAGTTTAAAATCAGGGGATGCTGAATATTCAACAACTCCTTGTGAGGGGAAGGAGACAGCAAGGCAGAGAGAACAAACCTCTACTGCCTGCAAGAGCTTCCTGTGAAGAAATTGTCTTTACAGAGTGATGACAACAATGTGCGTGGGCAAAGATTTCTGTGCAAGCAAAACTGACTTCCAAGATCACAAGTAGCAGTCACTTGATGATTCCCTTGATGACGGCCCACATGGACAGCTTTCACTTTCCCAACTCTTCCAGGTTTTAAGTGGCCTCAGCTTGGTGAATATCACATCCCCTCTGGGCTGAAAAGCCTGTGCCAAGAGGGAGTGGCTCATCTCCAGGCTGACATTGGCACTAAGGGAAGGGAGCAGGTAACACTTCAGCAGAGAAGGAAGTGGAAGGCAAACCAGTTTCTCAGGCAGCTGAAAAGAGTGTTTGACTCTTTTCAGAACTGATTTGACAAGTGTTTTCTGCAGTAACTGCTCAGAGTAACAAACTGCAGTGATTCCTGTGCCCAGGTGAAGCAGAAATAGTTCCCTCTCGCCGGCTGAAACAAATAAACACAAACCAGCTATTTTCCAGCTGGCAGCTCCCAAGCAAGCCAGGTACTAGCAGTGAGCCTTCTGCAGCCTGACACCCAATTATTTTAATATCCACTACATCTTCCCCCTCTCAGGGCTCATTGGATTTTTTCCTTTAACTTTCTGAAGGCACACAAAGAATTGAATAACCTTTTCTCCGCGTACCTGGCTACAGCCACATCACTGAGGGGGGTCCTTTCGACATTTTAAAGGACCTGAAGTGTGTGACAACATGGCACTGCAGTCAAGAATCTTGCCGGGAAACAGAATAAGAAGATTTATTTTATTTTTAATATTTGAAAGATTTCAAAAAGCATTCAACTGGATTTCTCACTAAGAGGATGAGTGAAGAGAATCCTTTGTAACTAAGCTGGGAGGCCCAAGTCTTTTATCCATTGTTACACAGTTTTTCCCCAGGGCAGAGTTAGGAAGGCCTGCAAGCCCCAGCAGCTTAACAAGGCGAGTACACTGGGTGGGCTTTTCTGCCATTGCCTAAGCTTCTCCCGAGGATGGAGCCGCTGGAGCCGAGCGGGTCCGCGCTCATCCCAGGCCCTGACAGGCGTTATTTGGGAAGATCCTGGCGGCAGATCAGTGACTCTGCCCGGCCTGCCTGCAATGCACACACACCCCCTCAGTGCCCAGACACCTCTGCTTTCTCAAAAGACCAGGAGCAAAACCATTCCACACCAGATCAGCAGTGAACTGGCACTTGGACTAATCGCTGTGCATCAGGCTTTGCCAAGCCACCTTTTCCTGTCGGCTTTTTTAAACCCTGATGTACAACTGGTTGGTCAGAGAGACCTTTTCTCTTCCAGGATAGGCTGTGTAACAGGAGGAAACCAGTGTAACTGTGCTGCCAACACCTTTCTTTTCTTACCTTTTAACATCTGTATGTGAAAACCCTTCAGTCCTGATGCAAATGAGCCGGTGGGTTTTGATCACATGGACCTGGATATTCCCCGAGCTCGGTTCACAGCAGGGATGGACCCATCTGCCTTTCCCAGGGATGTCTGGGTTTGGCTGAAAGTGAGGACTTTCCTGAGTGATTCCCAACAATGTCGAAAGGAGCTCAGGGCCTGAAGCAAGACACCCAGGATATGTTTGTACACCCAGCCATACCAACTCTTGTTCTAGGACTTGTCCAGCTCATTACAAAGCCCTAAATATGAAAGCTTATACTTTGCTCGGCAGTGTTTCACAGCCCTTACCCATCCTCAGAGGTCACCATTCAAAGGTGCTCTCAAATAATAAATAAAAGGTGAAATAAAAGATTACTTCTAAGTAATTGAGCCCCTCTTTTCCTGACTTGCTATGAAATTTGTGGGACACTAACACAGAATAAATTTTGAGGGTAAATGTCTTATGTACAAGTCCAGAAGCAGAAGAATATGGAATTTCTAAATAACAATGGCAATATTTGTTTCCTTGATGCCACTGAAATGAATGGTCTGTGGTAGGTGTCACTGCCATAAAGCAGGATATTCCTGGGCACTGAGTGCTCCATGTGTCAGTGATGGAGTTAGGGAGTGGCAGTGGCCATCTCATGGTCCAAGTTGCAGAAGGGGGTTTACTGTATGCTCAGTTCTGTTTATACTCCAACAAAAAGCTGAAGAAATTCTTAAGTCAGACCTGTTGTTATGGTTGAATTTTTTCTATAAAACTGGAGAAGGATTCAGCCAGAGACATTCACATGATAGCACCCCTGAAAAAACTCAGCCCACAAGCGCAGACTGTGCCCTCCCTGGTTTTCTCACACAGGGCTGAACTTGGGTATGAACAAAACTGACAAAATTATTGCCCCTCCCAAGCCTCTTCTCCACTAAATCCCAGCTCTCCTTCCCCAGACTCACCATCCCCATTGGAGATGCTGGAACAACCCAAGGAAAAAGCACCTTACTCATGTGCTATATTTTAATGTTTATGGTATGGCTTTTTGTATAATAGGAATAATCGCTATTGCTTTGTAGTACACTTACAACAAATAGCTTTTGAGATTGCTCAAACACTTTAGCTCCACTTCAGCTCTTAATCAAACTCAGCAGCTGTTTATTGCAATTACACCATAAAGCAATAGACATTATCCCTTAACTAACTGTCTTATTAATATAGGTAGTTACACAGCTATTTCATAGTTAGTCTTAAATAACTGCTTTTAATTATTTTATTAACATAAATAACCATCTCAATAAATTTAAATTAAATGCATATGTAAGAAAACGCAATTTAAAGCATTGCACAGAATTGCATCTGTTTACTAATGTTTAAATTGATGTCATTGTGTAATTCAATTGAAGTGCAACTTTAATTTATTTCAGTTTTTGATGGCCATAAAACACCTAAGACACCAGAACTTCCTAAATACTGAAATGGGCACTCTCTGCTCTTCTTGTGCTGTTGTATTTTCTTGGCAATATTTGTTTGCTGCCAGGCGAATGAGATTTCTCTTTAACCACAAAACTTACAATTTAGTATCCCCATTTAATTTTGTTTTCTTCCCATTCCCAAAGCAACAGATGACTGGATTGCATTTTGCCTTTTGGTTCAGTTGTGCAACTCTGCTTTCAGTGGAGAACAGGATTTTACTTTCCTGTGCAATGCTGGATCCTCCATGTCTTATGCCATTTGTTCTGCTGGGATCAAGCTCTTTGCCTTCAGCTAAAGGGAAGGCAGACGTTGCCTGACCTGGCCTGAAATCCCCTCTTTCTTCCTCAGGGGGGCTGGTTTATTGTTCAGGGAGCTCATCCTACCCCAAAATCCCACACTGCAGAGGAGGCAGCACTTACACAGCAGCTTTTATCCCCCAGAGCCACCATGGAATGTGTCTCTGGAAAGGGACCCCAGCCCAGTGCATTCCATCCCTCATTTCCCAGAAGGCTCTGCCCAGCACACTGGCCTATTCAGATTCTCTTTGGGGGATGAAACAAAAATCTCCCCTCCTTACTCTGGTTTAGATGCCTCCCCCTAAAGATAAAGAGGAAAATGCGTGCTGGAGAACAAGGAGAAAAGGAGAGGGACTCCCTTCACCCCTCAGAGAGAACAGATGATGTTAGGAAGCACTGGAAGAAACTAAAAGTGGAAAATGTAAGTCAAGAACAGGGTGAAAATGAGGCTGGAAAACATAAAGATGCACAAGGAGGTGAGGAGGTCTCACATACTTTCCTGCCAGCTCAAAACTTTTTAATTCTGTAGCTGGTGTAGGGACCTGCCAACGTGAACTGCTGCCTCTCAAATCACAGCAAACCCCTCAAAAGTAACTGGGATGTATTGAGAAAAAGTGTTGAAGTCAAGAAAATGTAAAGCAAAATTTCTCTGAGGGTCTTGACTGGGATCTCAGCAGCTTTATAACCTTCTAAACTGTGGAAATCAAGGCATATTTGGCTCTTGGATGTCAGTCAATGAAGGGAAGAATTTGGCAATAATGGTGACTATTGCTAAGTAGCAAAGTTCATCCCATCCTCTGCCTGCTCATCAGAGAACACTATCTCCCTACAGGGAATCATTAAAGAATTTCAAATCAAGTTTCAATGTATTTCCAAGCAGGTACACTCTATCTCAGGAGGAAGGTGCCTCTGTGACACCAAGCCTATGGAAAAGGGGAATGTGGCTGGAACAGCAAAGCTGAAAACGGTAATTTATTGATTTTAATACTTCTATCCAAATGCACCAGGTAACATGAAGGAATAATTACAGGCTCCATCAGAGAGGGGCTGTGATCTGGCAGACACACCAAGCTCCCCAGGAGACGAGCTCTTAAAACTTTACAGACTCCGCTGGGCAAAGACAGGTGACTCAGTACAAAGGGTTTTTACAGAAAAACGTAGGAACCAGAGTGAAAGCAGACATGTTTAAACTTCAGGTAACTGAAAGTGATCAGGGGTTGGATAATTGAAGTTCCAATGTATATTTGCCTACACTGTCGCTCACCTTTGAGCCCTACCTAGGCATCTTGACATTTATGTAGTCTGAAATCCTGAAAGCTCTGAGTTTAGACAACTAAATTGTTGCTTGTCAATTTAGTCTTGACTGAAAGACAGGTGTTTTGTTTCAGAGTAACACTCCTTTCAGACTCCTCTATTCCCAAGCTCACATTACTGAGCTAAGGAACTATCAAAAATGAAATAACTTACACGCAGGCGAAGACATTTACATACCTCGAACAAAGGAATTCTTTGGGCAAAATAAGAATTTTTAATTATTGCTTGTTTTTTGTCATGTGGGATTCTCATCTCTGGCTCTCTGGTGGGAGCTGGAGGAGCTTGGAGGCTTTGAAGGTTCGTACATTTTTGGTACTGCTTTGCAGTTTTACAAGCTGAATGCAAAATGCTGTCTGAACACAAATCCAGCTGAGAATCTGAAGCAGAATTCTCCAAAAATGCAGTTCTGGAAGCTGGCATACTACACACACAGCAGTCCAACACTAACAGGGTGAGCAAGGGGTACCTGTCAGGCTCATCCTAACTTTACCTCTAACTCAGAGTGGGTCATTACTGCCAGGCCTTCATTATCATCTCTAATACATCAGGCTTCTTGGCGTTGTGGCAGGGCTTGGACCTCAATCCCTTTATTCATGCCATTAAGTGTGCTGAAGGCAACAGAAGACAAGTTTAATCACAGTGACCTGCCAATAACCTCAGCTGTGACCTGGAGGGATCCCCAGTTTTGGCATAGGTTAAGGGTCTCATCTCATTTAGAACCTTAAGCTGGATTTGAACTGTAGCCCCAGAAGTAAAAAAAGCCAGCATTTTTATCTAGGAAGCCACATGGCTCTGGCTCCCTGATTGGTACTTGTGACATCCCAGTATTGGCAAACCAGGGACATATTAACTGTGTGCTCTATTTTCTGCCCTTAATTATGGCCAGCCAGTCTGAGTTTTCTTTCCTTTCCTTTTTTTATTTTTTTTAAGGATTTGAGTGACAAAGTGACTATGCATATCATTCCACATTTGAACTGTAAGACTTCAGTATTTCTACCTCTAGTGTGTAATTGGATCAGCTGCCAGTTACAGAAAGGAGCTGGGTGAGTATTAAGTGTGTGGAAAATGAAGAAGAGTCCAAGTGTGAAGGGGAGGAATAATTTGACAAAGCCTGCAGTGAGCTGTACGTGGTTTTCTCGTTCCAAAATGGAGTAGGTTTTGAAGTGCATGAGAAAAAACTGGCTTTGATTTATTAGCTTTGGTTCACAGAATGCCAGCCACAATCTTGGAGCAACTCAAGACATATGGAAAACCACAGTCCCTGCCCCAAGGAACTCACAATACACACAGTATCATACTGAGGATGGACCAGTGCCAGCCTGAAAAACACTCTGCTTTTATCTGGGTCTCGAACAACCTGCCAGGCAGGGCACAAAGCTGCTGCCAGGGCTGGGGCTTGGTGTGCCCATGGTGTGGTGGCCCTCAAACCATCACACCCAGTGCTCTTTTGTAGGTCCCCACTGTAATACTGCCTCACTTGAATCTGGAGTCTCTAAGAAATTAAGATGATGTAAATATGAAACAGTCTAGAACCAACTGCAAAAATCCATGGTAAATCTCAGCCCTTTAAAAAGGTAATAAACAGGTGAAGACTGTGCAGTCAGAAAGTGACAGTGTTTCTGTCAGGACAAGAAAGTTGAGTTCCAACACTAAGCACAGGTAAGGCAGGATCACAGAGACAGTTCTTTATCCAGTAAGTGTTCAAATATTTATATCTTTAGGAAGTGCAGGCAAACCCCCTCAGATAAGAATTGGGAGTCTGGAAGCTCCTGGTCAAACTCTCCTGGTGGGACCCAGAACATCCTTCACTTTGAATTCAAAGATGCAACTCAAGACAACAATCTAATCATGAGGTGGCCAATTTAGAGGATTAGGAGAGAGGCCTGAAGCCTGAGATCAAGGAGGAGATCACAACATCCAGAGCAGCTCATGAATGAAGCAGAAGAAATTGCATTTACCTGGAAATTCCCAGACAGTTGTCCCTCAGCTCCAGAAATGCTCCACAAAATGCAGCTGATCTGTAAGGAGTAAGCAAGCAAAACTCATTAGTGATGGAAACAAGAATTGCAAACATGCCAGGTGACAGCCCAGTGTTGCCCAGAAGGTGGAGAGAGTAAAAACTGATTGAGATCTGCTACCTCCCAACTCTAGGGGGCTACACCTGGTGGTTTGCTGCCCATAGGGCCAAACTGATATCCTGGGATTTGGGAATTCCTCTGCTCTGCCTTCAGCAGCAGCCACTAATTGAGAGGAGCAGTGTCCTGAAGGGCTCCAGGGTTATGGCCATAGAGTCATTTCCTTTCTGGTATAAAAGCCCTGCAGACAAGTCAATCAGGCAAAAACACAACAAAAAACCATCTCAGCATCATTTCTCTCTGGTTCTCCAAGGGGGTTAGGGTGTTAAGACAGAATGCCCTACCTCAAAGGAAGTCAAGATTGGATCAGAACATCTCAGAGAGATAGAGAAGGAGAGATGGCAAGAAGCAGCACTGTAAAGGTTTATCAGCATGAGCTGGGGATGACCACATTACTCACAGGTCACTGTACTTTCCAGCTGACTAGCAACAGATGAAATAAGGAAAACAATGGCCTCTGGATTTCCAGGTAGCAGCTGCAGCCAAGGCTGCCTTTTCAGCTGCCCTTTTAGCATGGAATATGCAGGCACTGCTCAGAAACCACCTGACTTCCCATGGAAAAGGGAACTGTGAGAGCCCACTGTTGAGGAGAACACCAAGGTAACATTTGTGTTGTTAGAAAGAGAAAACCTTCAAATGCAAGGCACCTGGATTTCCCTACAGCTTCCATGCTTTCAGTATTTCCTAATACTGAGCTAGAAGGACATCAGAGACCCTTGTGGATCTCCAGCAGGAAGGCACCGGGAAGGGCCTTTATTATCCTGATGTTAATTCACAACTGCTACACCAGAAAACAGGTGCAGTTCTTCATGTCCCACAGTGGCATCTACAACAGACTTTGTTACCTAACAAAGATCTTAGGCATCAAATAAATCAAATAAAGATCCTTTATTTATACCAAAGTGATGCCACTCTGCCAGGCTCTGCACAGAGGCTTTGCCACTGACCGCTCACGTTCTAGAAGGTGCCATCTAATCGGATACACACCCTGAGATCCCGACAGCTGAGGGGGAAATTACACTGCCATTCCTGACACTTCTCAAATTAGCAAGAGCTTACAACGATAAGGGTTTGTGGGATCCCTCTCCTGCCAGGGTTGGATGCACACAGGGTAAGGTAACGCCCTCCTGCTCTCTGCTGAATTCTCTCACCCCGCACTGCGTTGTTGTTTCCTGCACTCAGAGATCTCCTACTTGTGTTTGAACTCTGAATATTCTCTTCAGCTCCACGCAAGGAGCCAGAGGCCTTGGTAACCTTCTACCCCAGCAGTTCTTTTCCTGCAGTCAGGAAATTAGCTCTCTATTTTTGCTTCCCTTTTTATTTTCCATTGCAGAGAAGTAGGGGAATCCCCCCTTCCTGTGCCTGGTTTCATGCAGGGCTCTGATGGCAGTGGTTGGTGACAGCAGCAGAAAGGCCTAAGCCACGCCACTCACAAACAACAGTGCCACACTTTGTGTAGGGTTTTATGTTGATATTTTGATAATTTCAGCTATTCTTGCTGGTATTGAGACCTCTAGAAAACAATGCCTGCTTCAAGTAATTCAGTAAGCATCATGATAGCCCTGAGTGAACGCTTCTTCCCATAAAAAACTCCGATCAGGTAAAATTCTGAGACTTGATTTTCAGCTGATATAAACCCACAAAGATAATGTAATTACTGGTAGGACAGCTTTCACTCTGAAATGTCCTGGCCCCTCTGTCTCCTCCATGTGAGCAGAGGGAACAGGTACCAACGGAAAGGTTTCACGTCTCTGCCTCCCTGGTGTCAGTTTGCACCAGGAGCTGCTTTTTACCCCAGCAGGATTTCTTTTTCTTTCATTCCAGAAATTGTTTTGTTTTTTGTTTTTTTTTTAATGTAATCAACAAGAGGACTCCCCTTTCTGTTGTCCAGCTTTGGAAGAGGAGCCTGATTTATATTTTCAGCTAAAAATCCCCCCAGTCATGAGAGGATGGCAGTAGGAAAGGGATTAGAGAGGAAGGTAAGAGGCACCTCTAATATGTTTTACCAGGATATAGGAAGAAGATAAATATGAGACAGACAAACAAGAAAGTTAAGGAAAGAAAGGGGAAAACCCATGGAAGGTTTAGTAATAAAGGAACCCTATCAGTAGCAACAACTCGAGGCAAAAAGAGGACTTATGGATATCTGGGCTAGCATGAATGAGGAAGGGTAAAACAAACCTTTTCATAGCATGAAAAAAGAAAACCAAATTGCATTTTAAAAAAACCAGTGAGAGAAAAAAAATGTTAGAAGACAAATAAAACAGAGAGGGAGGATTTCTAAGAGCACAGAAGCAGAGGTCAGTGCCTAAAAAAGGAGGAAGCAGAAGTGAAGGAAAATACCTAAATATAAAAGACTCCTTATAAACAAAGGGCACATTGAGTGCTAGCCTATGATTTTTTTGAAGGTTTGCTATCAGCATATCTCCAGTGATAAATGCCTTCACATGATGCCAGCTCTCTGCAGGCACAACTGCAGCAAATCAGTTCTGCCAGGCCGCAGACAAAGTGACAAGGGATGACTTCCCCCATTCCACGTGGCACGGCCCTGGTTCATGCACATCCTGAACATAAATCCTCAGGAAAGCAGCACAGGGCAGCAGGGCAGGAGTGTCCAGCAGCACACAGGAGGAGAACACAAATGGGGAACTAAATTGGCAGCCTGGAGCTTCATTCAAACAATGATTACACAGCTCCATCTCTGATCGAGGCTCCTCATTCCACATCTGCTCCAATTGCTCCTTTTTGTGTCCTGGGAACAGGTTTGTCTAGGCACAAGAAATACTTCTAGGTTGTTCTTGCCACACCCACCAAAACTGAAAATTGCCAAGAGCATCCTCTGAATGGCAATGGCATCCACAAAAAGACTGGGATGACAAGAACACGTTCAGGAGCTGTTTGGTGACTGCTGAGCCCAGGCTGGTGCTCTGTCACAACAGTAACCTCGAGTCATTCATTAAAGCCCCTAAGCTCAAACTAATGTCCCAAACTGCCTTCTGAATGCCCTGGAGCACAGCTCCAAGCTCAGCTTTCCATGGACAGAGAGGAGCATCTGAGCCATCCCACTGACCTGAAGAGCCTTGCTAGGGATGTGTAGGCCCAGTGCTGGGCTGGGCTGGGGCTCCATGGAAGAACGGGGGATGGAAAGGCTTCATTTTTGAAGTAAAGATGTATGGGTGAGCCTCAGAATTTATGCAGAAGCTTGCTGGAGTTAAAAGTTGTGCCTGCTGACGTGTTTCCAAGCAACCCCCAGGCATTATCCTGCACGTGGGCAAATGCTGTTCTCCCTCCCATCCCATCCGTGGGGTTCTATGATTAACACCGATAATTTCAAAGGCAATATTCTGCCTATTGATCAGAGCCCCATTCTGGGAGGGAGAGATTCAGACTGACACTGAAAGTTGAATCTGCAGTGTGTATGTGCACATTGACTTACAACAAAAGAACCACAGGTAGCCCTCTGTTTATCAGTAAAATCCAGTTAGATCCTGTGGTATCACCAAAAGACAACAGTGCGGCCCCAAAGCCTCAATTCCACACACTCCCACATTGTGCTGCCACAAAGAGGAGGCTCAGCAGATCGTGCCCAGATCCTGCAGCCTTTACTCACACCTCAACTGCCATGGAAGTATTGCCTTAGCTCACCACAGCATCTTCACTACAAGTACTTCTGGCCATACCATTTTTGCCAAAATAAACACTGCTTTGGTGTGGGGGGGTTTGGTTTGTCTGTTTGGTGGCTGGGGGAAAAAAATGCAGGTTATTTTTTTTAATAGCAAAGAATGTGGATAGAAATCCACTTTTTTTTTTTTTTTTTTTTTTTTTTTTTTTTTTTCCCCTAGAACAGATAGCTAACAAACACAGAACAGCCTTTTTCTGTCCCCCCACACTCTTGCTCTGTACACCAGCCCTGCTTTAAGATTAACTGTCGGTCTGTGCTACCCTTGAGGCCAGACATTCTTTGGATTTGGTTATTATATCAAGGTGCATTTGTGCTTCTAAATGGGCAGCTGTACTGTAAATGGAGCACAAAAGAGCAAAATCCAGCCTGCTCCAGCGTGGGTCCAAAGCACGGCGTGTCTGTGATGCTGTAGCCTTTTGTTTCAAATGCAGATAGATAAACTACAGCCTTTTTTTCCATGACGGTTATAATGCAGAATATGAAAAACTCTTGGGATGGTTTAAGCTGCAGGGTATTCTCCCAGAGTTCTGTCCAAAAATAATCTAGTAAAAATGTGGACAGAGAACCATCGACCTCTGCTTTCCCCCGAACATATGCAGCTCTGATCAGTCTGGTATTTCAAGAAAAACAAGGTCCTGAACCCTAATCCTCAGACACATAACAAAGCGCACTTCACAGCTGTGATGCACAGCTACTATCAGCTCCGAGGCCTGAGTGGGTCCCAAGACAATGCCTCCTTTATCACCCAGAGGACAAATATCTAGACAGCAATATTTTCTGCTTGAATGCTTCAAGCATCTCTCGCAACTCCTGACTGAAAGAGAAAACTGAGCTGAGAGTGTTTGCTGAGTGATTATTTTAATTTACTACTTGATGTAAATCTAAATGAACTGACATCCAGCTTGAGATGGACAGAAAACAATCATTGTGAAAAAAGAAAGAAGGCTAATATTACAATATCATTTGAGTAGCACAGGTTTAGGCAACTTTAGCAGTGGCAATGTAATAGATAGTGAGGCACGGTTTGCATTTCCTTTTCTTCACTCAATTACCATAATAAGTTCTGTAATTTTAGGGCTGTTTATTTATCAGGCGACGATAACAAAGACGCTCAGAACACGGTGTCTGAATGCAATAGTACAAAGCAGCCCAGTGATGGCCCCTGCATGCAGAGGGATTGCTGATTCCCACACACCTGATT